CAATTTTTTGATTGTGAAAAAATCCTCTGTTTACTTAATCTGGCCCATGCATGCAGATTCGAAAAAGTGCAGTTGCAACATTTGAAAAGAAGAGATAGCCGTACAAAAGGGAGCGTCTTTTTAGAGCACATGTAAACAAATACATGCATTACCAGTGCGTCACGCGCATTTCACACTTAACGAGACGCCATTCACCGTTTCGCCCACTGCTTGCCCACGCTTTTTAAACCCGTGGTTCACGCGCAAGACTGGTGGTCTGTGTATTTATGTCTGTGGTTGCAACCGACATCCCCAGTGGCCGACAGCTTGCTACACGTCTGCCAAAAACAAAAACAAACAATACAAAAACGACTACTTCTAGAACGACGAATTGTGGCCGGGATGGAAAACATGAACAACCATTAACCAATAAGAATATTTCACGTAGAGTATTAGTGTTTCAAGTGTCAACAGCGATTGAAATAACCATAAAAGTGACGTGAAATATCAATGTTGCCGTTTTTCATTTCCCAAAGGCCTTCCCGTGACGATGCAATTAAAAAGTATTTGGTACTTCAGTTTTAGTGTTACTCGGTGTCTTAGTTTTTCGCCGATCTCTGGTGGATAAAATTGTATGCTCCATCCATTCTTATTCTTACTCGAAGGCGCGTAAATCCTTTTTTTTGGGGGGGGGAGATAAATTCCGGTTTTCAGGCTGATCCTACTTTTATTGCAATTTTTCTAATTCGTAAAGGACTTTTTCCAAAGGCAACAAAAGTCCACAATTTCAACACGAAAACCTTGCATGGAGTATGAAGACTAGTCTCCTCACAAGACTGGCAATAAAATGTTTCCTATAGGAAGGTACGCTGTGTATCCCAGACCGTTGTCGAAAAAAAAATAGGTGTCGGTACGCGGGCGCGCACTGCCACGCTAAACGTCGCAGAACTTCCTCTACTGGGCAGGGTATACGGTTGAGTATTCGTCAACCTGGAAGTTGTATACGTACACATTCCGTTGGATCCTGGGTTTAGATGATTCTGATCTTGTGTCTTTGATTCACAAACGAGTGCAATCACCCTTAATGATCATTACTGATTAACCCTTCGAGTCCGGCGGTTACGAGACGCCAGTAGGTAAATCGCACGGACGCGTCCACCACTCAATGCATGATTGACTTAATTGTAATTATTACGTTCCGTGTGTGATTACCATCGAAACTAATTCGGGCAAATTACCGGCTAGTGGAGTGCATGTACCTGTAAAGATGATCGATGTGTTTCGGAGGGCTATACAAGGCGTCTGCATAGAACAATCTATGTCTCTCGGTTAGTGGTCACATGGTTGTGAAGCGAGATCAGTAGTGTATTATACGTTTAATCCAGTTTGGCATGGACACATTATGAAATAAGTGACAGAAGTTTACAAAATTGCAAAGCAGCTATGCTCAATAGACCATCGCTCCGTCTCACAGATCGACAATAGTTCGAAAGTCAAGAGAGCGGTGCGCTGTTGTCTTTCGAATTAAGTTTTAATAAACAGATATGCGAGGCGCCTTTATACATTGAATGGTCGCCTGCATTGCGTACTGGCGGCGCTCATGATACCTGCACCTGTCGGGCGATT